CTCTTTGAAGGAGTTAGAATGAATTGAAATGATGCACAAAAATAAAATACTGGGGACAGATTCTCTCTTGCAATCAGAAGCCAGAGTCAAATTGGAAGAAGCAGATGCCAGCAACAATGACCCTAACAATGTTGCAAGCTATAGTAAAGAAGGAGTTGAATGGCATTACTCTCCCTTTTCTTCTACCCCAGAAATTTCCTTTGGACAACCAGAAGCAAATAGAATTAACACTCATTTAGGATGTGTGAAGTCAGAATCAGAATATGTCTGCAGCATTTGTGGGCTAGAAACTGGCACTGCTTCTCGTCTGAGGAGGCACTCAAGAATCCATATCAAAGAGAAAACACATCATGCTTGTATGCCCATTGATGGGACATTGCACAAATATGAAAACTGTTTTTCCAAATTTACACAAAAGTCATCTTTGAGGTATCATAAGAAACTTCATAATAGAATAAAGGAATTTAAATTTGAGGAATGTCCTACAGCCAACATTAACCATCCTCAGCTGGTAGACCACACTATAAAACACACTGGGGATAAGATATACCATGGTCAGGAATGTGGAGAAGGGTTTGCCACAGCGACAAGGCTTAGTTACCACCAGGTGACCCATACTGCAGAAAGGTCTTCCCAGGGTCAAGTTTGTGGAGAAACATTGCAAGAAAAGACGGCTCTCATAACCCAAAATTCTGTCCATCTTACCCGTGGGCCTTATATGTGCAATATGTGTGGAGAGATGTTTCCCAGGATAAATAGTCTTACACTTCATCAAAGAGTTCATCAAACAGATAGCACTTATAGCTATGTTCCTCAAAATGGCAAACCAGTCAAGGAAACTATTCAGGAAAATAGAAAGAAATCACCTCTGCCATTTTCCTTTACACCTGATATTGTATTTAAGGATACAGACACACAAAATGAAAATAAGCCTCCAGTAAGGGAAGGAAACTCAATTCAGGCAGAGAAACATGATGGAAATGATTTGAATAGAAGAAATGTTAATTTGCTAAACTTCCAGGAAGACCTCCCCATTTCAAGTACAACAGATACCATGGCCAGCTTTAAAGTGCAAGGAGAGAAGTATACATTTGCTGGGAATGTCTTGAATATTCCCCATCCCGACATTGTACAGGAGGCATTAGCAACTGGGACGCTACTTGAGAGCCAGGGAGAAGATGGACAAATTTATCTAATTGTTCTTCCCAGAACTATTGCAGAGCAAGACTACACACGTGTTACTTTGCCTGCAAAAATAACTTCAGTAACAGCACCGGTTATGACATCAGAGATAAATTCAGTTTCACCACAGAATCAAGGTACTGAGGAAAATACTTGTAATTTGCTAATGTGGGATAATGAATTAGATATTGCAGAAGTTTCTTTCAAACCAGATTCTGAGGTAGTGAAGTCTGAACAGAGTAAGAACAAAGAATATGCAGAAGAGGATTCATCTTCAAAAGAAACTGGATCACATGCCTGTAGTAAGAAGTTTGGATCTACCAGAGTCAAACAAAAGGAAAAATCTAAAGAGAAAAAGGTATATACATACGAATGTAAAAGCTGTGGGAAAAAATGCAAGAATTCCTCAAGCTATGTTATACACATGAGGACACACACGGGTGAAAGGCCATATTACTGCGGTTATTGTGGTGTGGGCTTCAAACAGGTAACGCACTTAAAAAGTCACATTCGCATTCATACAGGAGAGAAACCATACAAATGTAACCAGTGTGATGCTGCCTTTCACCAGAGTTCTCAATTGCATGCTCATTTTAAAGCTTGGCATGTAAGAAAACATGAGAGAATGAAAGAGAAGGACAAAGTCAGAGGCAGTATTAGGAATTTTTATTGCAAGATATGTGATAAGACATTTGTTAATTCATGTTTTAAAAAGCAACATATGAAAACACATATAGATGAATTGCAATATGTGTGTAACAAATGTGAAGCTACATTTAAAACAAAAAGTAGATTGCAGAGACATGAGAAGTTGCACATACATGATAGTTTTAAGATCTGTGAAATATGTGGACTTCATTTCAAGGATGTAAGTTCTCTGAATCACCACAGATTTACAATACATGAATTACCCAAAGGGGAATCAGAGGAAATTAGATTTCCTGATGAAAAGAAACTGAGTGAAAGAAATGGAACTGAAATTTCAAATGATGGTGATTCCAGTGGTTCCCTTGCAAATGTTAATCACACAAGTATGGTAGGTAAAGAACAGTGGGGATTAAAAACACAAACCTATATCATCAAGAAATCCTCAAAAAATGTTCAGATCCATTCTTGCAAAATATGTCAGAAAACATTTAAACAGAAGACAAATCTAAATACTCATATGAGAGTACATACAGATGAAAGGCCATACAAGTGTGAAGATTGTGGTAGTGCTTTTCACCAGATATCTCATCTTAAAGATCATGCTAAGATACATTCAGGTGAGAAGCCCTTCAAGTGCAGTGTGTGTTTGGCTTTGTTTGTTCAGTCTTCA